TACCAATAAATACACAGAGTGAAAAACTGGTTTTTCATTTTTTATGATGAGGATAAATAAATGGTAAATACACGTGTGACGGAAGGTTTTTCCACTTTGAAACGAATTTAAGGCTCAACGGGAACTCGGTGCTTGACTCACGATAAAACTGGGGAAAACTAGACTCAAATGGCAACCCGCTTGCGGGGAAGAGCCGTCACTTCTCTCGAGGTCCGGGATCAGACCACGAACTGATACAGCAGTAGATAAAACAGAACAAAACTTGGTTCCAACAGCGTTTATTCTTCAGCGGATCAAACAACAATAACTCGGCTAGGACACGGCGAAATAATCGGCGATGTAATCGAAAAATCACTTCAAAGCAACTTACTTATATATGATTTTTACAACCATTGAAGTCAAAAGAATGCAATAGAAATATAAACAGAAATCACTTGGAGTTAAATGAAAACCAAATACAAATTCTACTTATAACCTGAAATCTTTTGTTACTGTTGCTATTTTAGAAAGTAAAAGAACTGAAACAAAGACCTAGCCAGGTCAGCAAAACAGCGCGTATGTACAAAGTGTTACAATATGAATTAAATTGCAAGTTCAGCTATCGGCTGTTTAAACAGGAAAAGCGCAGACTAATTGAAAGTTTTCACCTTAAACAAAAACCGATGTATTTTTAAAATTACAAGACAGCAAAACCTTTCATATCCAAAATTCAGTTATCACCTCTCCTTAACTAATAACTTAATGAAATATACTTTTGTAAACAGATATAACTAAGTTGCAATTAGAACGAGGTACACCTGTATCAAAGGCGTTACTATGAATAGATGTCGTCCGGTAGTTAAATCACGAAAAATAGACTGAAGTCAAATAAATCATTATTAAGAAATTAAGTATTCTTTCAAGAGTCAACATTGACGTAAAATGTATATAATTGAAAAGAGAACGAGCAATTAGTTTTGTTTGTTAACGAACACTGTTGGCTTTTCTATGATTATTACTTAGTGAACACAAACAAATAAAACAAAGGAAAGTAAAATGGCACGAGCTTTTTTGCGGGGCTAAAACCTCTTTATGCAAATTCAGTATGAATGACTAAGAACAACTTCAAAGCGAATATTTGAAAGCTATATATGATATTCGAGGCAAATAAAGAATTCATGGAAAATCTCTCCTTACATAGTCTTGGATTAAACTTCTACATTGGAGCCAAGTTCTGTTGGTTGTTATCATTGTCTCGAGGGTATTCAACAGGCGTAAGAGATTCCGTGCCTTCCCGCAGCCAGCCGTGTCCCCAGGGAAAGGCCTTTCCCAGAGAGTTTTAGAGTTTTTCCCCGTCCGTTGATGTTCCCTTTTGTGAAGGCAAAACACTGTATCCACACTGATGTTTAAGTGAAAAAGCTGTTTTCACACAGGGGCAGTTATCTGTCACTCGAACAAGTGACTGGATAGTTTGTAGAAATGTTTTGCAGAAACCTAAATTGGGCATATGGGAAGATGGAAATCTGATGCATTTAAAAAAAGTTATAAGGTTATCTTCTGCGGAATCTATTTGTTAACTCTTTTTCTTTCGGTTTTTTCATGCTGTCGCTTGCA